TGATCCACAATGTAAATAAATTATCATATCAAATTTTCAAGGGGCTTATTTTCAGTAAAAAGTACTGGCAAGTTGGCTATGAATTAATTACTAACTACTAACCTACAGCCAAAGGTTGCTTATGGATGCTGGCATTCATAACTGTTTATCTAGAACATGAAATCAGATCAGTAAGTACATGCAGCTTTCAATGGGACAGGAAACCATTCACCTGTCTAAAGAAAGAATTTACTAATAAACAGTACCATTTGCTTGTTCATCCTCAGAAACAATGGGTACTAGAAATAGACTATTCTTTTTCATGGGGAAAAATGGCAATTTGCTAATTACCTGTAAAGAGCTAGACAAATCTATACAATTTATAACACAAATAACCCTAATTCTAGCTTTTGCATAAGACATATAAAACCGTAACACTGAAAAACCTGACAGAAGCTACAACTGTTCAGGCAACTTTCTGCTGTAAATCATTAGAGGTGTAGTTCTGCTGTATTGTAGGCTCTCATTTGCCAAGCAATCCACTTCCATCACTCACTAGATGATTCACACAGGTTTATTCTACCCATCATGGCTTTCAGTCTCCATAACTGGAAACAGGACCCACAAACCTGATCAGTAACTGACATTCTTCCTGTATTTCCTACTGAAATGATTTATTTAAAGAGTCAGGTAGCATACGGTCATTGCAAGACTCCAGCAACACTTTCAAAAGTTACTTTATTAATTTTTATTAGATTTTAAACAACGTCAAAAGAATATTAACAGAGTTCACATTGCATTTTGTTTATAGAAGAATTACTGGTTATTACTTGCAAATTACTGTCAAAGCTCCCACTGGCATTAATAGTGTAGGTTAAGAACTACAATACATTATAATAGTCTTGAATTGCAAATATTCAAGCAGCAAAAAGCATTTTTCTAATAACTTGAAAAATGTCTTTTTTCATGCATTTAAATAAAAGATTAAACTTTTAAATCTATACACACATTTGATTGTCAAGATGGTAGATAAGGCTGCAGGTTTGGCTTACTAAGCACATATATGACTGGGTATTAATAAACCTGAGTCCCATACCTTGACTAAAATAGTCAACCAGTTCACTTACTTCTGCATCCCACCTGGAAACATAGGAATAGAAACATCTGTTGGGCAAAATTATTAGAATAACCTTATCAGTGATAAAAAATGATGAGTGAGACAAAGTTCAATAGTCATTCAGATGTAATTATTTCTTAGGACCTTTTCTGCCAGTTATTTTCTTTATAATGAAATGCAAAAATTGTAGGTAGCAAAGATAATTTATTATTTTTATATATGCATAAGTTTTTGCACTCTTTGCTAAGAAATTGTGAATGGCTACAAGAAAAGCTTGCAAAAAATGCTGTCTGACCAGTAATCTCTGCACAATTACATACAGACTCGCAGTGTAAAAATGTCCATTGCAGAGGCTGGTTTCCTTTGCTTCAGATCACCAGGACCCCTGCTAGTCAGTGGCAGTCAAATGAATTTTGAAATTTTGTAATTTACGCACCTCACATGGATACATGATAACAGCTTTCAAGGATTATCAGCAGCTGACACATCATGTAGAAATTAGTCTTGAAAAAGCCCTGTAAACTATCTTTGAAAATAACGTTTATTAAAAAACATGTTCCTTGTCCAAAAAAAAAAAAAAAGATACACAAGAAAAAGAACATCCAGCAAGTTTATGTGTTTGAATTTGCACATGATGATGTCTCCAGTCTTAACCAACGTTTAGAAAGCAACAGCAGTCAGTATAATACAATTGACTTTTTGATCACTAACCAGTACATACGCGAGCCCTCAAGGACATGAAAGGCATGGGAGCATATGCAGATGACAATTCAAGTTTGACTGCAAGTGTAATTCCTCAGCTCTCATTATGGTCATACTCTGTGCAGTGTTTATATTGCAGAAATACATTACAGTGGTGTTTCCTTGCCGCTTTAAAAAAAAGATCTGTAGAACATCTTGAACAGGGCTGCCACAATGGTTTTGGTTTACAACCAAATAAAAAACAGTTGCATTCTAAACACTCATTATTATTACTTCCTCCCATTCTGTTTTTTGTTTACATGGGGCAGCATCTCCATGTGTTCTCTAATTATTAAAAAGTCTAACAGAATCTGCAAGAGTCAAGGCAGGACAAGTACAAAAAGCATGAATGCCCTATAGGTTTAGAAATACAATACAGTAAAATAGTTAGGCTTCATCAGCAGAGTGAAGTGAAACATACCAAGGCAGGAAATTCAAAGGTCTTCTGGACTTTGGAAAAAAATAAATTATGAAAAGAAATATGAATTCACTCACCAACTTTAAAAATGTATGAAATTACTCTTGTACAACTAACAGAAACTGGAAAATAGAAAAAAAAGAGTAGGGATTGAATCGTATACATTAACAAACTTGAATGTTCATCTATGACTATTTCTTGGCAACAATTAATAAGATTTCTTTGTGGGATACATTTTCAGACTGTAATGCAGAACTTTCTCTGGTAAAGCTTAGGACCTACCTATCTTTTACC